CAGCTGCACCAGTTATGACCAGGTTGGTTTAAAGTATGATCTTAACTATTTTATTGTAATGTCATTCGTGAGTCTCTTAGGGTTCAGCTCGTGAGCTTTATTTATTTTTCTTAGTTGGGGAAAATCTTTCACCAAATCATATAGATAATATATTCTTTTATTAGAACAATTTAAAATATTTTATTCTTTTTAATACAGCTTACTCGGGTCACTTTGACAAGGTTCAGTGTTAATTTATTACTAATTAATAACTTATATCTATAACTAATTGTTGTTACTACTGCTTCGAACTTCCCTAATTCTCCGTTTCGGTTCTGCTTTCTCTGCTATTGCCAGAACCACTTTCGGCGGGCCTCCTTTATTGTACCTCGCTCCTTAGCGTAGTTTGATACTATTGATGTTCTGAAAATGCACCTTAGTTTCCTCAGCCAACACGTTATGCCTTACGTGTACAAGGTACTCGTGAGTCAGGGGAGTCAAGAGTGGACTAAAACTTTAGAGGATACGTGACAAACGTAAAAAGAATGATTTTGTCTCTTGATGATACGTTTTTATAGCGTCAGAGCGAGTAAAAGAGGCCTTTGGTTGAATTAGGTCAACCAATTAGCGATGTTCTTGCAGACTGCGTTGACAGCAAAACAGTAGGCTTGCACGATGATGTGACATATTATGATTTCATGTATTAAAAAATAACAATACAACAGTACCAATCGCATTTTTCTGACAAGTATTATTGAGTTTTTTGGATCAGTGATGATGAAAGCTCGCATCATCAATAAAAGAACGCCAAATATAAGTCTAAATGTGATAAATAAGTTTACAAATTTCGCAATTAATTCTTTTTGGAACTTTACAATGAAATTTGAGTATAATAAAATAATGTGTTGATTATAATTTTTTAATTGGTATACATTATTAGAAATGGTCAATCAATGTGGAAGTAAACTACCCATTCATACATACAATATAATTTATGCACTCATACATGTAACGGATAATTTTAATACATACATGCATTCTTACAACAAGACTAGACGTATTACATGTCAGCATATTATAAAACATTCACCTTAAAGCTAATACACACACACGCATATAAAAGACGTATGAGCTTCACTTGTGATATGAGCTTGCTGTATGTACACAATACGTCTTGTATGAAATTTACGGATGAATTGCGTTTTTACTTTCAATATGATTCGTCTATATCCACTCGAGATGTAACATACGACTCCCAGCTCTATGCTCCATGCACTGCTAATGATCGACTTTGACATGTGGTACTTTGCTCGGGGAAATAATGACCAGACTTACCTAATTTTCTTGCAGGTAGCTTCGATTTCACGTCCACGCCCCCTGGTAGATCCTACTGAACTGAAGTGAAAAGCTAAGATATTTTGATAAAACTTTAAGCTTATTTATTGCTATTGCTACTGATTTTTTCAAATTAAAAACCATACTAAAACCAACTAGGAAGTATCAAGAATCAGTATGTTAAATTTCAGCAAGATCGGTCAAGTTGTTTTCGCGATTAGCGATTATAATGGTTTGAGCGATTTTGCTTTAGGTATCAGTAAAATTAAAGTAAGAAAATTACTGAAATTATAAAGCGTGCCCTGAATTATGTACATTACCAGTGGTAGCACATTACTAAAAGCACTCACGAGCTATACTACGTTGTGTTGAACAAAATTTTTTAACGAACTCTGTAGCTTTCAACAGTTACTAAGAAGCAGCCTATTCAACCTCAATATTTTTTTATATGGCTCACATTTCACAACACCCGAGCTACGTGATATGAAACGATGTTCTGAAAGGAAAAGTTTGTGAATGGACCTAGAAAAAACATATAGAAACTTGAAAAAACAAGCAAACTATAGAAATAATATTCGGCATAGTGTTCACATAAAAATTAAAAAAAATTATTTTGAAACACTGGAAAAGTAGTAGAAATAGTAAGCATATTTAATTATTTGAAACCTTTACAATGAACCATAAAAAATAATGTACACGATAATACTTTAGTAAGAGAAATTACTAATCACTCGTGATCCAGCAGTTGAAATACAAAATGGCAATTACCAACTATATTAACAGAATTTCTAAAGATTTATATCGAACAAATATGTGGCTGGAAGTACGACAGTTTGTATTAGGACGAAAAATTTGCCAAACTGAAAAACCTGTACGTGTTAGAAATAAACAAGTCATCCTCATCACGAACAGTTGCAAAAATTTATACATACTTTTAATTTAAGACTGGCTTACCGAGTATTTCATTTTATTTTTAGTCTAAAGAACAACTGTCTAAGAAACTGCAAAAACATTAACATATGAGAACATATATTGAAGCGTTGAATGAACTACTGCTACTATCTGAGCATGGTATCCATTCTGTGAACAAAATCGTCAAAGTTTGTCATAGTTAAGAGTTGAGACAAAAACTGCAACACGTCATCGTTAACGTTGCATCTCAGACCATGAGCACCTCAGTACTCTTTTATAGTCATCTGTTTCAACTTAATTGACTCTATTCCAAACAGATTATAATAAAGCTTGGCTTGAATAATTTCTTGAAATACTAGATGTATGTTTTTTTTTTTATTTTGATTAAAAGCAGCTCTGAAGTATGCGATTAACAAAAATGTTATGGAGTAAGTCTGTTAGTAAGGTAAATAGTCTTGCTGATATACTGCATGCCCTTAAATGTTTTATTGATCCTATAATAATGAGCGTAATTTTTGAAAATATGATCACTGATATAATAAAATCGTAAACTTGGCTTTATCACAATATATCATGTTAAATTGTACGTTGTGCTACCAGTAACTTTTTGTAAAGTTGTTTGACCATGATAATATCCCGAGGTTGTTAGGTGGTTTTGTCAACTCCAAATTTTGTTAAGTAATTCTTATAATTTACTTCATTAATGTCAACAGACACTCTACTTAGCAATGGTAGCTGGGGTCTATCTGACTTAGTACTAAATCGATCTAATTTTTTTTTTTACCGGGTTACCGCGACAGCTGTTAGACCAAGTCACCGGGGTCACTCACTCACCACCTATGTGTGGGGGTGTATTGCCGCACCCATTTTCAAACCTTTTTACTGATTTTATACCTAATCCATGGGCACATTGTGAGTATCTCCGGTGAAACATCTTGCCAGTAAAGCTGACACTTTCTGCACCAACGGTGCATCAGGTCCACTCGCCACTGTGTAGCCTTTCCCCGAAAAGTACTCCATATTTCAGGACGTCCACTCCTCGCCGGTTAAGCCAGTGCTCTCTGCTGAAGCATCAGATCGAGGCTAATTAGCATCTCCGGAGAAGCCCCATGTTTCAGGGACCACTCCTCGCCGGTAAAGATAGCGATCCCTGCCTGGCGCATCGGATCTGCTAACCTCTACCTATAGCCCTAACACTGTTTTGTAATCACCCAGGCCCGAAGACCTGTGGAGCAAGGAAAAAACCCTGGAATAACTCTGAAGGAAAATTCCACTGAAAAACTCGCCCCGAAACAGCCGAGATTACATAACAATTTTTTTCGATAAAAACAGTTTAAAAAAAATTAGCGTTCACCGGAAATCGAACCCATGACCCCTAGAATAGCGTTGTATCAGTATCAAGCACGTTTACTACTGAGCCAACGCCGCTCCTACATCGATCAAATTGTAAATATGATATATACTCGAAGTCCAGTTTGTAGGTGTGATAACCTTACTCTTAGTCAGTTTTAACTAACTAAGGTTTTGGTTGCCATGTTGCCTTTAATGATGGTTTGAGTGGTAGTTTTAGTTGAGGTTTGACCTTGGGATTTAATAATTGCCAAGCCTTAACTCTTTTGGTTATGGTTAGGTCACGTATGCTATTATCTTGGAGATTTGGGGTAGCTATGTTATCTTTTAGAGCAGCTGTTGCTGTCGTAATCCTCATTAGTTTTTCTCATAAAGGCTGTCTGTATAATTAATTTGAGGCTTTAGAGTTTTATCTTAGATTTACTATTGCAATTATAAAATTTCATTTCTTATTACATCTTTGACGTAGCAATTCTTAATTGATTGCTTTACCATTTATCTGTAAAGATGTGGGGTTACGTAATTTTAAATATAACAACAAGTTTAAGTCTCTATCATCGATAAAAATTAAAAAAAAGACTTAAGCAAAGTACGTGGATTTCGTCTATTTCTCCTTTGAAAAAAAATTATTGTTAGTTTGAGAATCGAAAAAACACTATTTAGTGTAGACAATTTTTGAAATTAAAGAAATAATCATGAATACACTGTCATCGGTCGAAGAAGCTCCTAAGATAAAGTATTGACAACAGATTATTCTATCTCTCTCTCTCTCTCATACATACATACACACACACACACCTACTAACCCACTCACACATACTCACGCACTTAAACGAACAAATTTTTGTGATACACTTATTTAAGATCGAGATTGCATGGAGTGTCTAATTATGCAATAGCTAGATAAGATTTCAAGAAGAGGTAATCAAACACTAAAAAAAAAAATAACATTAAGCAAGAAATATTTAAGTTTAATATGAAATAATTATGTATGCATTATTATTACATGCATCTGCTTACTACTCATACATGTAATTAATTAATGAGAACAGGCTACAGTGTCAGCCGTGAGCTAAAGTTGACGCTCTCATGACGCGATGCATATGTATAGCCGCAATAATTAATGTAGGTAAATACATTTACAAGCAGTGAGGTCAAACTTTAGAAACATCAAGTGTGCAGAACTAAACACTGCCGCATATGTATAATAAAGTGGAGTTAAAAATTATGCTTGATATCATAAAATATTTAACCTGGTTCACTACAATCATGAAACTAAATAACATGTGTGCGACATAGTATCCTCACAACTTTTTTTTTCCTACGTAAAAGCTTTCTGTTAGAAGTAGCAGTTTGTTGATTTTACTCATACTAAACGATTAATCGTTATTTTTGGAAGAGTACTCATTAGATTTTTTTTATAGCCGTAATATTGCCATTAGATCCACACATAATCAAGATGAGTCAATTTCTGAAAAATGCCACCGACTAAAATCTGAAATTAATGAGCTTATGAACCAAATAAACGCAATCAAGGAATTGGTAAGTGTCATTGGTTTTATTATTGCAAGAATTATTTCTGAATATCTTATTGTATCTGTTTTTGAATACGTTCATTCATATCGAATACTTATAATTGTTATTAATATAGTTTACGGTAACCTATTGTGATCTGTCAATTCAAGGAACTGATTTTATTCATACAACTCAAACAGTGATTTTAATAACTAGAACACAGTTTGATCATCTACCTTAATGACTAGGATGCAAATCGACCATTCCATTAAATGACCGGAATACAAGTCGACTCTTTTTATCAAAATTGGACAAAACACGATAACTGCGTTAAATTTATGTAAAAAGAATATTTTGTTGTTATTTTCTTACTCAGTAACTTCTGAACGCATTTATTTTCAAGTGTAGCATCTTTTGGATGGAGACCAACATTAGTAAATAAAATTTTGTTTAAGTAGTATAGAGAGCTCAGAGCAATTTTTTCAACGTAAGTGTAGTTTAAAGTACTGCTTGTTAAATAAATAAATGAATTCTTATTTTACAGCCGATCTTCACTTCAATTCGTTACAAACGTGACACTTTTTTCAGATGCATGTCCAACAAGATTCCTTGAAACATAGTCTACTGAAGTACCATGATACCAAAACAGCTATCACGTTTTTAACTAATTACAAAAAAAAGTAAAGATCGATTATAAATGTTGAAGTGCACGACTGTATCGATAGGCTGTAGGCATGCGCGAGCGTATGTGTGCCTGTGTCATAGGAGAGACATGTACAGCGCCAGTCAGGTGTGAGCCTGTTCTGATTTGACCATAGTCAAGTTCACACGCAACATTTAGCTCTCCTTGAATTTTATAAAGTCTGTGCACACATAAAGTCAGTTATAGTCAGTCGTCAGTTAGTTTTTGTCAAGTCAGTTAAGTAAATCATTTAGTTAAATAAATCTATAAAGTCGTCTCCTCATTTCCTCAACCTATAGCCCTTCAGGTTATGGGCCCAGAACGCTTCACTGCGCTTTTCTCTCGTGTATGTTATTCTTTTTCGTGGCCCTGAGAGGAAAAATGGCTTATAGGAAACCAGCTCTGGCTGAGGAGAAGAGCGAGGAGATCGCGACTTCAGTTGAGGAGGAGCTCCTGGTAACCAGGACTGAGGATGAGGCCGTGGCGATGGTGTTGCTTCCAGGATCACCCGAGGCGACAAACACAGCTTTGTTTATAGTAAGAGATGTCGGTAAGTTGCAGTGTTGTTATCAAATATTGTGTCGGATCTCGGAGACAGTGCTACGGCGTGAGACAATTAGACAGGAAAAGGTCAGCGAGTTCTTAGAAAAACTCGAGAAAATAAAACTGTCTACTCGCATGTTACGACAAAAGCGCTACAGGCACATGTTCAGTTGTTCTTCGGTGTGTGGAAGAAGGACAGGGGGAGGTAATGAGTGGAGTCAGATCAGAGAATTTCTCTCCCTCCCGTCTTACTAACATGAAACCACATGGTCTCTTTCGCACGCATTGTACAGCATTGCACGACTTCTAACCACAAAATATTTCTCTTTCGCGTTCCTCTATAATAATCGTGCGCGTGCCCGCTCAGTGTTTTGTTTTGCCTCAAATAAAGGCAGAAAGGCTGATACGTAAAATCTCCGGGCTCGATACAACAAAGTCAGATATTTCATATTGAATATTAAAAAGGCAGGAGGAAGGGGATAGGAAGGCTGCAGAGGAAAGAAAGAAGATGGAAGAAGAAAGGCAGGAAGAAGAGCGGATAAGGGAGGAATTACCTGTGGTCCTATAAAATTTCGACCAAAGGCTGAACATGTGGAATGAGAGGCTCGTAAAACTCGAGGCACTGGCCAACTCCAGTCCCCTCTCACACTCCACGCCAAGACCCGAAAGAAATCAGATTGAGTCAGAATGCTTGGCAGAAGCTGCTGGAGACCGACCCATGAGGGCGGCGTTGACAGCGTCATGACCCCAGGATCGCCTTCGGTACTTCAAACTGCAACGACTGGGACCATATGGCCGATAGATGCCCGAATGCTGGAACTGGGCTTAAAAAGTGCTACACTTGTGGCAATTTTGTAAATGACATACCAGCCCACAAGAAGTACAGTCCAAGATGTGGTGAGCAAATTAAGTCAGATTCATGGGATTTTAAAAAGCAGGGGCGTGAAAGTCGAGGGCATCAAAGTGGCCGCAGACGTGGTTATAGCAGTGGTTGCCCAAGTTTCCGGAACTTAAGACATAAAAGGGACTCAAGCAATTTCAGAGATAAAAAAGACATCAAAAGGCAGAAAGTGTCTGACCAAGGCCGAAATAAAAAAAAATAAAAAAAAACGCGTTGGGATCGAATAAACGCAAATCTCTGACGTTGATCGAGCCCCTTAAAACTCTGTTTTCAAACTCTGCGGATTGGGTAGATTATATAGATTTCGATGGAACTAATAAAATTAAATTGATTGCTGATTCAGGAGTGACCGATCATTTTACTTAGTCGGAAAAATTACTTAAATATCTTGTCAAAAGAAAAATTGGAAAATTAAATGTACAAACTCAGACTCATCTGCAGATTTGAGAACAGAGGGAGTGAGAAGTCTGCTACTTAGGAATAGTAGTAACGAGGTGGAGTTAAACGGGATAGTTTGTGCTCGGAACTTGGTTGAAAATTTACTCTCCTTACAAAAATTTGCTGACACGGGTCTGTCCATCTATTTAGATGATTAAGAAATTAGCTTTTTCGATCCTGTTACAGAAAACGTCTGGATATAAGGAATATACCAAAAATCGTACTTGACAGTCAAATTCATAAGGTCGTATAGCATACAAAAGTTTCACCAAAGACAGATCGGAAGTAATAAAAGAATGAAAATACTAACGGCAGAGTCAAAAGCACAGTCTGGTCCTCAAAAGTCAGCTTCGGAATACAGTATAACTGAAGAGTTTGGGAGCTCGATTAGAATGACTGAAAAAGGTGACAGTTTCTTGATCATATATTTTTAATACAAGATAGGAAGTTTCACGATGTCGGAATTGCAGAAACTGAGTTAATAAACGAAGTGCAGAGCTCTTTCACCGAAAAGTATAAAGTATTTAAAGATAACTACGGGGAAATGTTATGGCATGTCAGATTGGGACATGCGTCTTTGGGATATCTCGGAGAGCTGCAGAAAGCATATCTGGAAATAAAAAGTCTGATGGAGGCTGTTTTAGTGACGAAATAAGGGCGTGTGACGTGTGTCTGAAAACAAAGTCTCAAAAATTTCCTTTCCCTTCCGTGCGAGAAAGAGCAGCCAGACTACTTCAGATCATTCATTCAGACACAATGGAAGTTATAAGTCCGTCATCTTTTCCGAAAAGGTACAAATTTATCCCTGTATTTATGGATGACTTCTCGAGATTTGCCACGGCGTACCTCATGAAAAACAAAAGTGATACGGGTGAATGCTTAGAAGATTTTGTCAAAGGCTGTAAAAATTTGTCAGGATATGATTCTAATGTGTGTTACCTTAGGTCAGACCAGGGTACATAATTCACGGGAGGATCCACCCGAAAGGTGTTAGACAGTCTTGGAGCAAAACTCCAGTTGAGCTGTCTGGATACCCCGAGTTAAACGGCACATCGGAAAGACTACATAAAACAATTCAAATGAAAGTCAGAGCTCTCATGTATGATTCGGGACTCCCGGAAAACATGTGGAACTTGGCCTTGAACGCAGCAGTTTTTGCGTACAATCGCACTCAACATCGTTCAAATAATATGGAAATCTCTTTGGCGAAGCTTGTGCCAAACAAAAGGATAGATATAATTCAGATGAAAAGATTTGGTTGTGTCTCCTATATAAGAGTTCAGAGAAATACAGACACAAAATTCCAGGCCAAAGGAAAGAGACCATTTATTGTGGGTTACACACCTACAGGGTATCGGCTGCTTTGCCCTGACGAAGGAAAATTCTACGAGAGTAGGGACGTCATATTCAACGAACGTTTTGGACATGGAGACATATATGGCAAAAGTTTGATTAAAAACTGGGAGAACGTGACAGTAGATATTAAACTAGATGAGTGGTTTTTAATCTTCGAGAAAAAAAGGGAAGAGATGACAACATCGGAGGGAGAGCCTCCAGTTGTACGAAGAAAACCTGGAAGGCCGAAAAAGTCAGTCGAGTTAGAAGCAAACATGGCAGATACAAACCTGAAGTGTAAAAATCCAGTTATAGATGTCAGTTTAGCGGGTTTGGATGTTGCTGACGATCTCATAAAAAATCTTACTTTCAAAAAATATGATACAGACATGGCAGATAAAGATACGTCTGCAGAAAATCTCACTCACTATCTGTTTCTGGCTGAAATAAACGTATACAGAAGCAATAAAGGCAGCGGATCGGTAAGGCTGGATTCGAGCGATACAAGATGAGCTTGATTTAATGGCGAAAAATCATGTATTGATTCTTACAGACAGACCTGTGGGTCTCATAAACGGCAGACGCCCAAGTATAATTGACTCGCGCTGGGTGCTCAAGAAAAAGGTTGACTCTCAAGGGCAAAAAAAATACAAGGCATGGTTGGTAATTCGAGGATTCCAAGACAAAAATAAATACGATTTGACAGAAACTTGTGCCCCGATGTCGAGACTGACCTTGATCAGAACGGTTCTAGCTCTGGTAAATAAACTAAATCTGAATACATGCCAGCTAGACGTAAAAACAGCTTTTTTGAATGGTACTCTTGATGATGAAATATATATGGAGATACCAGAAGGTTTGAACTGCACAGATGAAGAACGTCAGAATAAAGTCTGTAAGCTGCAAAAGGCCTTGTATGGGCTAAAGGTGAGTCCTCAAAAATGGCATGAAAGATTTTTGGAAGCAGCAATTAAAATGGGTCTGAAGTCACACATTTTAGTAGCATGCCTGTTTACTTGGCACGAGGCAGATAAACTTCTTATTTTAGTTCTTTATGTTGATGATATGATTATTGCAAGTAATGATCCAAATCGCTTAAAGTCTGTTAAAGAAAGTCTGCAAAGCGTA